AGTTCCACCAGAGATGGAGGCAGAGAAGATGATGTGGAGAGATGGAGCAACTGGGGACTTTAGACACAGAGAGGGAGAGGGGCTGTGTGCTGACGACTGGGGGGCAGGCTTATAGTGTATAGCCTTTGGTTGGTTGAGGGTGCATGGAGGGGATTGTAACCATAGCAATGAAATGATGTACGATAGAATGAACGTAAAACTAATGTTCTCCCATGTAAACTATCACATAATTCACAATAAAACATTAAAAAAAAATGTAGATGTTTAAAGCTTCCATTTAGTTTAAATTTGAAGAGTCAAAAACATGGTTTTGTATGCCTTAACTTGTTTAATTAAGTAAGAACTTTTATATATTGGTTTGATTCCTAATTTCAGAACTCTCAGCGTCTTCCCAATAATTATCACAGTCACAAATTATTTGGCACTGGCAAGGATCAAACAGAGAGCTGGTGGAAGACTTTTTCCCATCATCTTATAACTGAGGGATTCTTGGCAGAAGTTTCTGGATTTAACAAATTTGCAAAGATTTGCAAACTTACAAAAAAGGTAAATATTATAAAAGTCTACTGTTCAACTTAATTTTTCTTATTATACATTAAAAAATTCTTGTGTTTGACAGGGTAGAAATTGGCTTCATCAGTCCAGTAAAGATTCTCCTCAGAGTCTTATCCTTCAAACTAATGAAGAATTATGTCCAAGAAAGTTTCTTCTGCCAAGGTACATTTTTCATTTTTCTTATTTTTTTAATTCTAGACTTTTTTGTTTTATTTATGTTATTCAAACTGTTTTACCAGTTTGTAGACACCACACAGATAAGATGAAAAAAAGATGTTTTGGTATACTTAGTTTATGGGTATGTGTCAGTGGGAAAAAGCTAGAACACATTCTTGATTTAAACAAAGTAGCTGACCGGAGTATTTTAAAAATCCTTTTTCCGTCAATTAAAGAATCAGGATTGAGATCACTATGGAAGAAACTACCTATTTCCTTATGTATACTAGGTAAAAATAAAGTAGTGGTTACAGGTTAGGCTGTTAACCTCACTGTCAGCAGTTTGACACTATCAGTACTTCCACGGGAGAAAGATGAGAGAGACTTCCTGCTCCCGTAAAGATTTATAGTCTCAGAAACCCTTTACAGGGTTGCTGTGAGTCGTAACTGATTCCACGGAACATAATTACTACTGTTGTTGTTACGACTCATAGTGACCCTATACAGGGTTTCCGAGGTTGTAAATCTTTACGGGAGCGGAAAGCCTGCTCTTTCTCCCGAGGAACAGCTGGTAGTTTCTAACTGCTGACCGTGAGATTAGCAGCCCGATTCGTAACCACTATGCTACCAGAGCTCCTTAAAATTACTATTGTTGTTGTTGTTAAGTGCCGTCGAGTCGATACTGACCCATTGTTGTTGTTGTGTTGTTAAGTGCCGTTGAATCGATACCGACCCATAGCGACCCTTTATAGGGTTTCCAAGGAGCAGCTGGTGAGCTTGAACCAGTTCAAACGGCTTTGCAGTCTGGAGCATTAACCCACAGCGCCACACCAGGACTCTTCTACTAGTTAAAAAGGGAATAAATATGCTTGTTGTATATTTTTCAGAACTTTCACATCTTAGTGATTATTTATCACTTTCTTCCCATTAAACTATTAAACCTTATAGAGGTTTTCTAGGGGAAAAAAAAAACAGTTTAAAAATCCTATTATAGTAAAATGGTAATATAATCTTATCTACCTTTCTGAAATTGAGGGTGTGAAGAATCATGAATCACGTAGCTGCATTTTAACATTTGAGATAATTTGATTTCATTATTTTTCAGTTCTAAAACTGTATCTTCATTCACTGAACAGTATACCTCTGATGGAGTACCAATTGAATTAACTGCAGAGAAGGTTTGTTTTAAAGAAGCAGTTCTTAACATATTTCATTCTTTATTGATGCAGCTCTTATTTAAAATTTTTATATTTTAATGCCCTTGCAATTCAAGAGAAAAAAATGGCATGCATACTAAAATGTAAGATTTGGAAAGAGAAGTGACTTATACATACAGAATAAAATAATGTGGTGTTTGATTACTGCTGTTAAAAGAATAGTACAGAAGTATTGGAGGAAATAATTTGTTTGGATTCTTTTAAGCCTATTTTATGACCTTTTTTTTGCCTTGGAGTTTTTATATGTTATTATACTTATAGTTGATAGAAAAATATGTTTCATTCCTAAATGTTCTCATCAAAGCTATATATTTTTCTTTGATTTTGGACTTTAGATAACAAATTAAATGCTTACCCATGGGCCAGCATAGAATCATTAGAACACTAGGATAAGGACGTATATGTTGAATTAACTTTTTTTTTTTGGGTGACTTTTTCTACTTGTTAAAATATTGCATGTAGAACATAATTGAATAATTTTTATAACTTTGGATCTTCCTGTGTCTCAGAATATTCTTGGGAAGAAGAGACATTAGGTTACATTTTAACTGATTTTAAAAGCCTGTTGTTGTTGTTAGGTGCCATCAAGTCAGCACCGACTCATAGCAACCTTATTTATGCACAGCAGAATGAAACACTGCCCGATTCTGGGCCAACCTCACTACTGTTGCCATGCTTGAGTCCATTGATCCTGCCACTTGGCCAATCCATCTCGTTGGGGGGGGTCTTCCTCTGACACTCCACCTTACCAAACATAATATCCTTCTCCAGCGACTGGTCTCTCCTGACAATGTGTCCAAAGTATGAGAGACAAAGTTTGGCCATCTTGGCCTCCAAGGAGGAGCACTCTGGCTGCACTTCTTCCAAAATGGATTTATTGGTTCTTTTGGCAGCCCATTGCACTTTCAGTATTCTCCTCCAACAACAGAATTCAAAAGCATCAATTCTACAGTCTTCCTTATTCACAGTCCAGCTTTTGCATGCATATGAGGTTATTGAAAATACCATGGCTTGGGTCAGGTGAACCTTAGTCCTCAAGCTGACACCTTTGCTCTTCAACACTTTAAAAAGGTCTTGTGCAGCAGATTTGCCTAATTTTAAAAGCCTATATAAGTTGATAACTCAAGGGCTTACTTTTAGGTGATTTACTTAATAGGTTTATTTGACAGTGTGATTAGAGGAAATAAATGTTATCAGCTTTGCATTTTATTTTCTTCATATATAAAAGCTCTTTGAAACTTCTAATATTTTATGATTTCAATGGATCTTTATCTTTTTTAAAACAGTATAATTTGAAGAAGATGTATTCTTACAAATCATTTGATAAAATCTCTTCTGGGAATAACATTCCTAAAAAAAGGTACAGTGTTCAATATTTTCATTTTCTCTACTTAATGAAGTAGTAGTTTTTGTTTTTCTTTTCTAAAGAGAAAAAACTATCAGCTATTGGGGTTATTCTCTTGGCAGAGGAAGTCCTATGAAATGACAGCGTTAATATTAACAGCTAACATTATTGCTTGCCAGGTTCTATGCTAAGTAGTAGGCATTTTAAATGTATTCTCTTATTTAAACAATCTATGAATTCAGAACCACCAGCTGCTCCTCAGAAACTGTAAGAGAGTTGCTATGAGTTGGAACGTACTGGATAGCACTTAACAACAATAGTTTATTCCTGTTTTTCAGTTAAGGATAACAAGGGCTAAGAAATTAAATAATTTGTTCAACAGCACACAGCTGGCTTTCACATATAAATTTGTTTATCTCCCACTTAACATATTAAATTAAACATATTAAATTACATTAAACATATTAAATTACATTTTCATGAAACATATATTTGCACACTATTTAAAAAAAAGGTTTTATGGCATCATAAAATGGTGTATCCAAGTAAAAGATCTGTTGTTGTTAGGTGCCATAGAATCAGTTCTGCGACCCCATAGAGGGTTTCTGAGGAGTGGCTGGTGAGTTTGAACCACCAACCTTTTGGTTCAAACCCACCTTGCTTATCCTACAGTGCCACACCAGGATTCAGTATAAAAGCTGGTAGAGAATAAAGGTAATGCAACTATTCTACTTTTTTACTTAATATTTGACTTCCTGGCTTGGCAAAAGTATATGAAATGTTCAGAATTATAGGAGGGCTGAGGATGGAGAATTAGAAAAACATCAGTTAGGGCCTATATAGTGTACAACAGATTAAATGGACTGTGTTTACTTCCATCCCAAGTCAATGTAAACTAATGGTTTCTATGATCGACATGTGCTTTTCAAAGGTTTGTTCACTGACAAAACGTTTACAGTGACACCATTTTACTACCTGAACAATCTTTTTTTGGTTAGGATATGTGGTATGTGATCATTGGTTTAATTAAGCAAAAAAGTTTAAGTGGTATACAAGCAATGTATCCATTCAATATGCTGTAACGTTTATTTAAATGTTTCCATTTTTATTACTAGGTACCTTCTTTGTACCAGACAGCATTCATTGTAGGCATTGGGATTCAGTAGGGAATAATAGAGCCATAGCTACTGATTATCCCAGTGTTTATCATTTAGTAAGATATACAGGTAAGGGAAAGTCCTGGTGTGGCATTGTGGGTGAATGCACGGGTTTGTTTGAACCAGAAGATCGGTGGTTCAAGCTCACCAGCCACTCCTTGGAAGCCCTATACAGGGACGCTAAGGGTTGGAACTGACACAGTGACAGTTAACAACAACACAGGTAATGGAGTCTTGGTGTAGTGCTATAGGGTGAGCACTGGACTGCTAACCACAAGGTCAGCAGTTCAAACCCACCATCCCCTGCTTGTAAACCCTATACAGTGTCACTATGAGTCAGAACCAACTCACTGGCACTTGGCCTAACACCCACATGCATACTGGTATGGGAAAATAAAATTACAATCAGGATTTTAACACTATGGAAATATAAGCAAGGCTTCCCAGAAAAAGTGATACTTGAAGTTTAAGCAGAAGTTGGTCAAGTGAAGTGAAGGGCCGTCTTCCCAGTAGAGGAATGGCCAATCTGTAAAGCCTGAAAACAAGAGAAGTATGACATAATTGAGACACCCAGCAGTATGCTAGGGATGACCCTAGTAGAAGGAAACAAGGAAGTGGTATAATTTAAGGCTGAAGAATTAAATAGGGGCCAGCATAATCAGTTCCTTTCAAGCATAGGACTTTATCATAAAGTCAGTTGGGAGCAAAAGAAAGGTTTTAAGTAGAAGAATTAATTTTTAATTAAATTTATGATTTAGAATAAGGGTTGATAAACTTTTTCCTATAAATTTTAGATATTTTAAGCTTTACAGACCAGATGGTAACTATTGAAATATTCAACTCTGCTATTTTAGGTTAAAGGAGCTCTGGAAGCATAGTGGTTATGAGTTGGGCTACTAATCGCATGGTCAGCAGTTCGAAACTACCAGCCATTCAGTGGGAGAAAGATGAGGCTTTCTGCTCCCATAAAGATTTACAGTCTCAACTCTATACAGAGGTTGCTATGTGTCGGAACTGACTCATGGCACTTTAACAGCAACAATTATAGGTTAAAAGTGGTGGTGGTGGTGGTTTTAACACATAGCAACCCTGTATAGGATTTCTGAGGCTGTAAATCTTTATGGGAGCAGAAAGAGCAGAAAGCCTCATCTTTCTCCCATGGAGCGACTGGTAGGTTAAAATTGCTGACACTGTGGTTAGTAGCCCAACACGTAACCCACTACACTAACAGAGTTCCTTTAGCTTTAAAGTACCCATAGACAATATGTAAATGTATATGCATTGTTATGTCTAGTAAAACATATGTATTAACAGTGAAATTTAATTTCCTATAACTTTCAGACATGAAGTGTTCTTTTTCTTAAAATAATTTAATTTATAGGTATTGCTGAAACAGACTGTTTGGGCCCATGAGCCCTAGTTTGTCAATCCTGGACTGTGGATAGAATAACTTAAAGGAAGATGAGAGTGTTGTAAAGGAAAAAAAAAAAAAATTAGCAGGCTTTTGCAGTAGTACTTGCAAAGAGATGATGATAGCTTAGATGAAGGAAGTGACATTAGGAATGGAGAAAAATAGATTTGTAAGGTGTAGGAGAAAGAAATGTTAGGAGTTGATTATTGAAGTGATGGTAAGTTAAGGAAAATGGAGGACTTATAGATGACGATTCTGGATGCAAGTATTGTTATTTTTTTAGGTAGGCAATGTAAGAAGAGAAACAATTCAGGGGTTACATTTTTAGGGGAATGAAGTTAAAATCTGTATGGATAAGGGATACTTTGTTTTCCCCCAAATATTTGATTAAGAGAAGGATGGGACAAATATTATTTTTCAATTTTGTGATAAACTCATTGTTATGAGTGTGGTTGGTCCAAAATGCTCAGAATCTGGACTGCCATTTAAGAAACAAATCACCTTACTGATATTGTGAAGAATAGGTGTTAGGGTTGACTTGGATAGATATTCTTTACTTGGGAGCAAATAACAAATAGACCAGGGAAAAGAAAATTTTTTAATGCCTTAAATTTTTTTTTTTTTTTTTAGTATTATGCTGCCTTCACCAGGAAAATGCCTTCCTGTCTCTTGCAAGTCAGAACCTGCTGTTTCAGCCCAAGGACAAAAGAATCAGGTAAGACTTTAACTAAAAGGTAACTAGTTTATGAGAAGACTGTTGTGATTTTATCCATGCTTAAAATTCTGTTATTGGTATTTTAAAAATTGTACTTCACCTAAGAATCTAAGAGAGTTCAGTTCATTTTCAATTTAAGGAGAAGTACACTCTTTTAAGCTCTAAAATAAAAGACTAGATTTTTCTATGCACATTAAAAAAAAAACTGTTGTTTGGTTTTTGTTCAGACTAAGTTATATGGCAAATTGGTAGAAGCCAGGCAGGAGCAGTCCAGTAAAATGAATGTTCCTCCAGCTATTCTGGCAACAAATAAGATACTGCTGGATATGGCCAAAATCAGGTAAGCAATCTATTTGTATATGTTACGATATATTTTCTTCTAGCATATTGTTGTCAAGTGTCATCGAGTCAGTTCTGACTTACAGCAACCATGTATAGAGTTTCTGAGGAGAGGCTGGTGAGTTTGAACTGCCAGCTTTGTAATTCAAACTGACCCTGTGGTGAGTGCATGCTCTCTGGCACCATACCAGGACTCCTCTAACATAATAGATGTGTAAAAATATATCATTTTGTGATAATTATCATAACTTCAACTATTTCTTCTATGAAAAACTCCCAAATTTCCCATGTCCCTCCCTCTGTCTCTTTGCTGAGCTTTTAGCCTCATGTTTGAGCAGGATTGAAATCCAATGGCCTATTCAGTAATCAGAATCAGTATATATAAAATCTAACTCATTTTCTACCCACCCTCCATGTACATAGTTTATCCAAGTACCAAAGCTTTTATTTCTGAATTCCTTGTTTTTGTTTATTGCACTACCATGCCCTTGATCACATGTGTTCAAAAATCCTAATACCATTTTCATTCTTCTGACATATAGCTCCTTTTTGTACTCATTTAAACTGTTTTCTGACTTTTTCATGTTTCTCATGTCTATGTCGTTCCCTCTCTTCCTAGTCTGTTGGACTGTTGCAAAAAAGTCTCTTAACTAGTCACTCTTTGCTCAGTCTCTCTCCCTTTTTCACCCAATATATGAGTAGTAAGGAGTCCCTGAGTGGTGAAAATGGTTAAGTGCCCACCTACTGGACTGAAAGGTTGGTGGTTTAAGCATACAAAGAGGTGCCGCTGAAGAAAGGCCTGGCAATCCATTTCTGAATGCATATAGCCATTGCCAATCCATCAGAGCACAGTTTTACCCTAATGGACATGGGATTCCCATGAGTGAGAATCCATTGGATGGAAACTGGTTTGATGTTTTTGGTTAATGACTGCCAATTAATCTTTCTTTTATATCATGTTGTACTTCTGCCTGAATGATTTCATTTGTGTTAACTTCTTTAGCTTAGGATTCTACATTTAGGAACTTAACCTTACTTTCCCATCTAATTTTCACAATTTTGAGTGGTTGGTTTTACTCTGATTGTCGTTTTCCATTTGCTGAAGATGCCTTTTCAACTTTCATTTAATTACTTTTAGTGTCTCTTTGATACCCAAATCCTTTTTATGAAATCCTTCAATATTTAGCTTTTTAAACTACTCCTTCAAGAAATCTTTCATGGTCATATCAGCAAAGTAATTCTTTCTTAGAGTCTTAAAGAACTTTCAAATGTATTGTTTTTGTAGTACTTGTCATACAGTATTTTAACTTTCTTGGTTACTGGCATATATCTATTATTATATTTATATAATAATATATTTTTATAAAATATATCTATATTTTAAATTCTTTGAATAAAAATATATGTTCTTCATGTTGTTGGGTCTCTCACAACATGTAGTACAAGGCCTAATAAACACCAAGTTGTCAATAGATATTTAAAATAAATTATTCCAAAGATAGTTGTTTGGTAATTGTATTCATCTTGATACTTCCTTTTAAAAAAATGTTTCTGTCACTAAATCATATCCAAGAGATTTTATGCTTTTGTGCAAAAATTTCTAATGATACTACATAGCCTTTCTATCCTATATACTTTATTCCATTAAAAAAACAAATATTCTAGGACTATCCTTTAATATTCAAAGAAGGTATTTTAAAGGAAAAAGTAATTATTAGACTGGCAGATTTTTAGAAACTGTACAGTCTCCTATATATTAGATACATTAAAAAAATCCAGGTTTATTATATGATAAATGCTTTCTGGAAGAAAATAATGAACAAGACTTTCTTCTGAGAATTTCTTGGCCTCTTAACTGCCCTCAATTAGAGCCTAGTATTTTTCCTTATCAATGTGAAAATAGAATAATAATAAGATTAATAGTTGAGTAGATCATTAGTTATTAGACTGTTTTTTTATGATATTGACCCATTGACCAACTAGTACTTTGTTTTGTAGTGGTGGTCATGGCTATGCTTTTATTGTTAAATTGTTCTAATAGCAAATCATGAAATGGGGGGAAATAAGGAGAGAAATTATGAGGAACTATGTGGTGCAGTAAGGAGCTCTGGTAGCGTAGTGGTTACGAATTGGGCTGCGAACCTTAAGGTCAGCAGTTCGAAACTATCAGCCGCTCCGCGGGAGAAAGATGAGGCATTCTGCTCCTGTAAAGATTTACAGCCTCGGAAACCCTGTACAGGGTCGCTATGGGTCGGAACCGACTTGACGGCACTTAACAACAACAACAACAATGTGGTGCAGTGGATCTATATGATAAGCACTGGGCTGTGAACCACAAGGTTGGCAGTTCAAGCCTGATGTACACTCAGCAGTAGAAAGATGAAACTTTCTTTTCTCTTGAAGATTTAAAGCCTAGGGATCCCTATACAGGTTTGCTATGAGCTGGAATCCACTCGATGGCACTTAACAACAAGGAAAGAATTATATAGGTTTTACATTGGTTTTAGTGTTTGAAAAAACTAAATCAAATTATAACAGTTGTATAAAAATATTCAATATTGATTGAAAATCAGAGAATGTATCCTGTGCTGCTAGTATTTTAATGTTTCAATGGCTTCTAGACTCTCTCTGTTTTAACCACAGGCCTACCTCAATTGAAAATTTGAAAAGGATTGATGGGGTTTCTGAAGGCAAAGCTACTATGCTGACTGCTCTATTGGAAGTCATCAAACAATTCTGCCAAACAAATAGCCTTCAGGTAAATTACAGTGGTTTTTTTGAGTTCTTAGAGAATGTTTTGACCATTTCGAAAGCACCCCTCAAAAGCAGCATCTCCTTTTATTTGCCCTTCCTTTCTGAACACCTGGAAAATTAATTCAGAGTATCTCTACAGTAAATCAGTTAGTAAAGACCTGTTGTTGTTTAGTGCTATCAAGTCGTTTCTGACCCATAGCGATCCTGTATAGGGTTTCTGAGGAGTGGCTGGTGGGTTTGAACCACCAACTTTGTGGTTCAGCGCATTATCTTGCAGCGCCACACCAGGACTTCAAAGACCTGTTAGCTACCTGATATTTAAGCTGATACTAAAGTTATTATCCAGGTTGGCCACGTCTTTCTGCTTTGTTGAAGGTTTTGTCTTTAAACTTAAGTACTGTATTTTTTCAGGTTGATAAATTCTACATTTCGCTTTCAAATATGGTAGTTAGAAATTAGAGCTGTAAATTTTTACTTTCTATCAATGTGGCACTGTAGGATGAGCACTGGACGCTAACCACAAGGTCGGTAGTTTAAACCAACCCCTCCCCCCCCCCACCAAGTTTTTCTCGGAAACCCTACATAGGATCACTATAAGTCAGAACTGATCCGACAGTACACAACATCAGTAGAATAAACACTGAACTGCTAACCGAAACAATGTTCAAATCCTCCAGCCACACTGTATGGGAGAAAGATGAGGCTCCCGTAAAGATTTACAGCCTTGGAAATGCTATATAGGGTCAGTAAGAGTAGGAATCAACTCGAGATCGCAGTGGATTTGGTTTTGTTTATCAATTGCTAAGGATCTCAGCCACTTTATTTTTCTTATAGTTTGGCACATTCCACAACAACTCTCCCCTTCCAATAATGTTGTCTTTTGATATTAAGTAGATTTTATGTTATTCTCTTCAGGATTAGTAGCATTGCTTCATATTTGTTTACTTCCTGCTCTACCCTAAGTGACCATTTCCACAAGGGTTACTTGTGTTTGTTTCTTTAGTTCCACATGTGGTTTCTAGGCTGTCTACCCCAACGTAGAAGGGGAGACAGAGTGAGGTGGTTGAAAGACTGTTGGACTTGGGGTCAGGGAATCAGGGTTTTCAGCCTGCCATGGTTTACTAAATGAACCTGTATGTGTTCTTTAATTTCCTAATGTCTCAAATTCTTACCTACACAATGGAAATGCTTTCCAAACTCATATCAAGGAAATAAAAATGAAATTAAGAAAGATAAAAGCCATGGAAAACTTACGATTTAGAAGTTTTAAAAATATGTATGGTAGTATTAAAGGATCATTCTCTCTTCCTACCTGACCTAATAAGCTTTGAGAGGATACCTTTGGTTCCCATATTAGAAAAATCATTCTCCAACTACAACTGCAATAGAAAACTCTTCTGTTTTGTAAACGTAGCATTCTTCTCTTTGAGCTGAACAGAAATTTTCAAAGGTCAGCTTGAGAAGACAGAATCAAATATGATAACGAAACGTGGAAAGACCTGGAGTTAGAAAACCAGAAAGGAAGAACACATTCAGCATTTCTCAAGCTGAGGGAACTAAAGAAAAAATTAAAGCTTCAACTTGAAATATTGAATGATTCTCTGGGCAAAATACTGAATGCTGCAGAAAGCATCAAAAGACGATGGAAGGAATACACAGAGTCACTGTACCAAAAAGAAATGGTCGTTGTTCAACCATTTCAAGTGGTAGCATATGGTCAACAGCCAATGCTATTGAAAGAAGTCCAAGGTGCATTGAAGGCATTGGGTAAGAACAAGGCACCTAGAATTGATGAAATACAAATTGAAATCTTACAACAAACTGTTGTGGCACTGGAAACTCTCACTTATCGATGCTTAAGAAATTGAGAAGACAACAACCTGGCCAACTGACTGGAAGATATCTGTATTTGTGCCATTATAAAGAGAAGGAGACCCAAAGGAATGTGAAATCATTGGACAATATAATTGATAGCCCATGCAAGTAAAATTTTACTAAAGATAATATAAAACCAATTGCAACCATACATTGACAGAGAACTTCCAGAGGTTCAAGCCAGTTCAGAAGAGGATGTAGAACGAGGGATATCATTGCTGACGTCAAATGAATCTTGGTTGAAAGCAGAGAATACCAGAATGATGTTTAACTGTGTTTTCTTTGTATGCAGAGGCTTTCGATTGTGGGGATCCTGACAAGCTATGGATAACATTACAGAGAATGATTATTCCAGAGTATATAATTGTGCTCATGAGGAACCTGTACATAAACCAAGAGACAGTTGTTCAAACAGAAAAGGGAACATTGAATGGTTTAAAATTAGGAAAGGTATGTGCCAGGGTTGTATTCTTTCACCATATTTAGTCAATCTATATGCTGAGGAAATTATTGGATAAATTGGATTATATGAAGAAAACATGGCATCAGGATTGGAGAAAGATTCACTAGCAACCTGCGACATGCAGATGATACAGCCTTGCTTGTTGAAAGTGAAGAGGACTTAAAATACTGTTAAAGTTCAAAGATCACAGTCTTCGGTATGGGTTGTATCATCTCAATGTAAAGAAGACAAAAACCCTTTCCACTGGACCAGTGAACAATATCCATATCAATGGAGAAAAGATTGATGTTATCCAAGACTTTATTTTGCTAGGATCAACCATGAACACTCCTGGAAGAATCAGTCAAGAAATCAAACGACAAACTGCATTAGACAAATCTGCTGCATAAGACCTTTTAAAAATGTTGAAGAGGAAAGATGCCAGTTTGAAGACTAAGGTGTACCTGATCCAATATATGCTATTTTCAGTAACTTCATATGCATTCAAAAGTTAGACAGGGTGCTCCTTGGAAACCAGGATGGCCAGACCTCATCTCTCATACTTCAGGGATCAGTCCCTGGAGAAGGATATCACGTTTGGCAAAGTAAAGGGTCAGAGGAAAAGAGGAAGATCTCCATGAGATGGATTGACACAGTGGCAGCAGCATTGTGCTTGGGCATAGCAACGATGGTGAGGTTGGTGTAGGACCAGGCAGTGTTTTGTTCTGTTGTATATAGTGTCACTATGAATTGGTACTGACTCAATGGCTCCTAACAACAACAACATTCTTCTCTTTTGATGCAGAATATATGTGGCAAAGTTTCTTCTCATATTCTCGTACAAGATATTATATGAAATTTCTTTGTATTTCATATTGGATATTTTGGAAGATGAAATGATTATGTCTTAATAATTTGATAAAGAGTACCACTCCTGCCAGCAATAATTGAATAAGAGTCATCTCTTAGGATACTTGACTTTAGTGTCTTCTTTCATGAAGTGGTGGTGGTGTTTAATAATGAAATAATTATTTCTTGTAACTCCTACGTCTTCCGAAGAAACCTGAAGAGGGAATAATTTATTCAGTATGCCTGGACTGTAACAAGTGAAATTCTGATAGTGTATCTAAGCAAGAAAGATAAATATAGTGGATAAATCTTATGCACTATAGAATTCTGCTTGTCAAATCTAGTTAATCAAGATTTCTCCTCTGAAAAATAGAATGTGCTTGTATACTTTTGCCCTTCTGCCTTTTCTCTTCATGGTTCCATAATTGACATTTCTAGGACCTTGGTTTAGTGATATCCCATTGTCTATACAATATATAGACTATATTGTAATCCCCAGAAATCTGTGTGGTAGGGTTGATTTTAGGCCTTTCTAGAAAGCTAACCACAATTTGAAAGTGTGAAGATCTCACATGCAAACACTTCAGTCCCATTCAGTTGAAAAATGTTTTTCCTGGAAACTCCTGGAGGACCTAGAAACAACCTGGAGACCACGAGTCTTATAATGGTGCTGCCTGGCTTCTCTGTTCACCAAGCTGTAGTTGTCCTAGGAATCTGTATACCGATTTTCAGATCCATGTTTTATTTTGGATAGAAATGGACTAGCTCAGGTTACAATAAGCCAAGGCCTATAGATTTGATTATTTAAATTTAGTTTTGGTTCTTATGTTTTAGACTATTACTGAGTCTTTACATTTTGTCAGACTTTTTAAGAAGTCACACTGTTTTCCAAATTCTTAATTTTTAACCCTCTTTTTTTTTTTTTAATTTTAAAGTTTACTTAAGAGAACCATATTTAAATTTTACCTAATGCTTCAAGTTTGGAACTTCATTGGAAATACCTTTTATATGTATGTAGTTCTACTGTAGCTCCTTATGCTATATTCTGTATTAGAATAGTTTATTGTTATAGTACCTAAATTTGAATAGTAATTCTTTTAGGGGATTAATTTATTAGATATAAGTAGAGTGGTTAGTCCACATTACAGCTCATTTTTTATTTCCTTTTATTGTCCAGGGGGAATATAGCTTCCTTGTGCTAAAATCATATTTGGTGTTACAGATATTAAAAGTGTATGGCCTCTAGCATTGTATTACCTTTTTAATGTAATACAAAGGGCTTCAAAAATCACTGGAAAAATTCTGTTTATCTTTTAATTCCATTTTCCATGAACTTTTTGAAGTACCCTTGTATATTAAAAATAACTTTTCAATCTTACTATAATAAGAGAAAACTTGGCTGTTATTTAGAGATTTTATTTTTGTTGTAAACTCTTCGAATAACTAGTGATCATATTGATATATATACTAGGGGGCTTCAAAAAGTTCATGGAATAATAGAATTGAAATTCTTCCATGAACTTCTTTAATTCCTTCATATATTATTAAATTTATAGTGTTGATCATTTGTGCTATACTTAATTTTTTGTAGACAGACATTTTTTCAAGTACAGAAGAGGAAGAAGAGAAGAAGAGTCTGGTCATGAAAAAGGAAGGATTCTCACTTTCACAGTCTATGCTCATGACTTATTCTTTGTTTCAAGAAAGGAAGATGTCTTTAGTAAGTGTTGCTTTCAAATTAGAGGACATTTTTTGGCCTCTCCAAACTTGTGTTTTATCAGCTTTTCAATGTTAAAAGTTATGACTTGAGATTAATGTCTTATAGCCCCAGAATCTCATTTTATTTTAAATTTTAGATAATAGTATTATTTTCTTTTTCGGCTAAGCCTAGCTTTCACTTAAATAACAACATCAGGTGATATAGAACTTGCATCAGGAGTATTGACAAACATATTTACAACTCAAGAGATATTTTAGCAGTTATATTAAAAAAATTAAGAAGTAAATAAAAGTTAAAAAAACTATTAGTATATATACTGATAAGCAATCTCCAAGATGCATTACTAAGTAAAAAAGTGGATGGTGTAGAACAGTTTGAAAAACAAACATGTAAATGTACATGTGTACATATTCACATATTCTTGAATATATATACAAAAAAGCATAGAGTACCACTGGAAAGTTGTCCTAAAACTGGAAATAAGCTAAAAGAAAACTTGCTTTTCACTCCATATCCTCCTGGTGGTGGTGGTAATTATATGCTGTTGAATGTGTTCCGACTCATAACGACCGTGTATAGTGTTTCCGAGGCTGTAAGTCTTTATGGAAGCAGAAAGCCTCATCTTTTCCCCATATTCTCCTAGTATTGTTCAATTTATTGTTTTACTATTGATGGTTCAAACCCATCAGCCACTCTGTAGGAGAAAGACAAGGCAGTCTGCTTCCAAAAGGATTCATAGTCTTTGAAACTCTGCTCTGAGTTGGAATTGACTTAATGGTAGTGGGTTTGGAGCTGTTAATGCCATTTTTGGGGGGGCGGGAGAGGAATCTTATTATTTAAAAAAAAAATTATTCATACTTAGTATTTTCCATTGTTGTTAAGATGCTGTTAAGTCAGTTCCGACACATAGTGACTCTGCCCAGGGTTTGTGAGGAGCAGTGGGTAGGTTTGAACTGTCAACCTTGTGGATTCTGTAGAGATCATCTTACAGCACCATACCAGGAATCCATGTTTATCATTGTTATGGCATAAATATTTAAGATTCTTTATGACTTTTTTGTATACAAAAGAGAGTATATCTTAGTGGAATATGACTAGATTGAGCTTCCAACTAAGTTTAAATTACTTGAATTCCTATCTCTGTGACATTAAATTGATTTGGAATAAGCTACAAGATTCAGTTTCTGTTCTTTGTATTTCTATGTCTCCATCCATTAGGTACATTGTACACATTTTGTTCTGGTTGCGGTCCAGTATAAATGAGAATAAACAGTTCATAGCTTTTCTTAATAATATGTGTTCTAATTAGACAGTCAAGCTCCTTAATTTACAGACAAAAACCTTGACATGAGAAACCAAATAATTCCTTTGGACTAAGTTTGAAATAAAATACCTGAGAAATATGGGTTTTAAGTTCAAATTCTTAATTAAATTGTAACTTACATGTATGTGTTAAATATGCTTGTAAACTCATAATTTGACCATATATGTATATGGAACCACAGTTACTAAGAAAATTTCATTATAGTTTCCAAACTTTCTAAATAAAGTGGTTTCTAATAATTACTCCTGATATGAGGTTTGTATGGTTTGTATCTAATTTATGTCTTTTGTTGTTGATGGGTAGTATTTTGTTGTGTAATATGATGTTGTAATTGGCTGTATCTCCCAGGAGTTTGAGAGGGTCTTGCCAGTTAACCACAAATTAAACATGCCTAAGGATTAATTTATCAGGAGCAATAATGCAATTAGTTTTTGGTAATTTGATGCCCTGTATCGAATAACCTCGATATTATGCACACATGGTGCATGCTGCCTAGTTGTAAAAGGTAGATACTTATTGAAAGTAATTTAAAAGCTTTCTTTGAAGGACGAGTGCTTCTTTAAAATCCCTTTTCTGTTAATCTATCAACATTCATGAAAATATAGTCCAAATTTAGACTTTCAAAATGTGTTGAAAGAAAGTATCATGAAATAAGTTAGTGCTGATTGATTGAACTTTCTGAGTGAACTAAATGAGTGTAATACACATCTTAAATGGATTTGGAACCATGTTTGTTTAAAAAGATTTATAAATATGTAACACAATTCACCTTAAGTTCAATGGTAGAAAAATGATGTCAGCTCTTGTTAAATTGTACTTATTATTTTTAAAATATAAATCCATTTTTAAACACCTGCTAAAATGTCTTGTCAAGAATATAAAAATACCAGAGCCTATGTTATCACTAAACATTTAGGGTTTGTGTCTTTAGAAATTTATTTAACTCAGCATCATGTGTTATTTCAGGTATATAAAATGTTGGATTCATTTGCTATAGTCTCAAAAATGTATTACACTTACATTCAATGCCTACTCTCTGCCACTGGTAAGCTTGTAATGCAAATAATTAGAGATGAGGATGGAATTCTTAGGTAAAACTGGGTGACTTTATTTTAGTCAATATAGTAAGTATAAAAAGTAGAGCTTGTAGAGTTCTATAATGTTAATAGTTTTTTTTTTAAATAGTTTAAATGAAAGTTTAGTCTTTTGTTTATTTCTGAATAAAGATTTAATACATGAAGGTCTTGAACTTTTTATTTCCATGTGCTACAGTGTGCTTTTAAAAACACACTGGTTCTTTTTTACTCTTGTTTCCCTAGAAAAGTATAGCTGAGAACAGAACTTTGCCTCTCACAACAGTTGGCATGCACTTGTCCCAAGCGATGAAAGCTGGCTACCCACTCGATAAGGAACGAGTAGGACTGACTCCAGAGGTTCAGAAGATTATTGCTGATGTTATCCGAAACCCTCCCGTCAACTCAGGTGATAAGCATGGCCCTAGTCTGCAGCCTTAATGACTTAAGTCATTGAGCCCAGATGAAGTAAACAAGCAATCCATTAATACTTTTGCTTGAACAGCATTAACCCTTAATGCTATGATAAAACCCTGAATTTTATAATGCTGCTTTGTATTGTTTTAGAAAATTAGTCTCTTATTCATTATCATTGAGAAATGCTTATTCTCCTTTGCAGTTTCACATTACAATTGCCTCACCCTGCCCCAAACAGAGCTCTTTCACTCTTTTTAAATGTATCACTCCGCACTTGGAAAAACACATTACTGATTCCTAGTTCTTTCTCTGAACTTTTATTATTTCTTATTATTTGTTGCACTTCAGTAACATTTCTGTGTGAGTCACTGTGGGTTGAAGGGATGGGCTGAGTTCAGTAGACGCCCTTGCAAAGGAATTTTCTCCTCTGACTTCGCTGCAGAACCTCGGTGGTGTTCACATAAATCTATACACACAAGAATTTTAATAAGTCCGTTTTTTATTTGTGATCAATGGTTTATAGAAGGAAGGATAATGTATTAAAAGATTTTCCCCTTCCAAATGTGTAAAAATAAAAAATTGGGTGTGTTCTAATCCAATAAATATGATAAAGTTTTCAAACTGACAGGGCAGTGGTCTTACCAAAAGTCTTGTTTCTACAGTTGCAGTGGAAATAATTACTTTTTGTTGCCTAAAATTGTTTTCTACTTGGAAACAACTATATACGATTCCATCTAAGAATTTGGAAATAAAGGTAGTAAGATCATTGCCTGAAAGCAAAATTAATACTGTGTTTAATTGATCAGAACAAAGACATACAAATCATGTGAAAAGGCAGCATTATTCCTAGACTGAAGCAAGACTTAGCTGAAAGTTTAAAGAAAGAACACTTCTGTCACTTTGAGCAGTCAGCAGTGGACACACAGGAAAAAGAGGGACACAGAGGCAAGTATGGGTAATGCACCTCAAGTTATATTGGAGGAATAGGGAGGAATGGACAAGGAGACTTCAAGCATATTAGGAGCTTTAAGGGTAAATATGCCAAGCTCTTAATTGTGGAAGACTCCTTAAATGACTAATTCTGCTTCTATATTACCTCCTACCATTCTTATTAAAATTTACTATCCCTTATAGATCTGCCTGTAGGAAAAGAGGCACTTGTCTTGTTATTCCGAGTATTTATCTATGTGATAGTTGTGAACCTATCATTGTAAATTAATTGGTTGTTGTTTTGTGAACTTGATTAATGTGACTCTGCTGAGGTTGAATTAGGTTTCTAATTCTGTCAGGCTTGGACTGCAGACAAGTATCCAAGGTAATTTATATGTGAGTCATACAAGAAAGCTAGCCAGATCTTTCTAACTTCCACAGCCAGCTTATTAGGAATTAGGGTTATTGTCGTTTCATGCAAAACAAATCACTGACCAGTCCTACAACATCCTCAAAATTATTACGCTTGAGCCCATTGTTGCTGCCACTGTGTCAGTCCATTTCGTTGGAGGGTCTTCCTCTTTTTCACCAACCCTTTACTAAGCATCGTGTCCTTCTCCAACCACTGGTCCCTCCAACCACTGGTCTTAAGTATGAGAGATGAAGTCTCACCTTCTGGCTTCTAAGGAGCATTCTGGTTGTACTACTTCCAAACAGATATATTTGTTCTTTTGGCAGTTCACAGTGCTTTTCATGTTGTTGTCCTACACCATAATTCATGTGCATCGATTCTTCTGTAGTCTTCCTTATTCATTGTCCAACTTCCAGAGGCATATGAGGCTATTGAAAAATACCACTGCTTGAGTCAGGTGCACCTTAGTTCTCAAACTTACATCTTTGCTCTTGAACACTTTAAAGAGGTCCTGTGCAGGTGATTTTCCTAATGCAGTATGTCCTATGATTTCTTGACTGCTGCTTCCTTGAACATTGATTGTGGATCCAAGCAAAATGAAGTCTTTGACAACTTCAGTCTTTTCTCCAGTTATCATAATGTTATTTACTGGAGGATTTTTTTTTTTTTTTTAAACATTGAGGTTCAATCTGTACTGAAGGCTGTGGTATTTGGTCTTCATCAATAAGCAGTTTAAGTCCTCTTCGATTTCAGCATGCAAGATTTTATCATTTGCATATTGCCTGTTGTTAATGAGTCTTCCTCCAATCCTGATGCCATGCCACATTCTTTATGTAATCCATCTTCTTGGATTATTTGCTCAGCATACAAATTGAGTAAGTATGGAGAAAGATTACAAGTATGGAGAAAGATTCAGTATCCCCTTGTACTATTCTAACAACTGTCTCTTATGTGTGAATCATTTAAGAATTATGTGTGTATCATTTGTATATCACAGGTTGTTAATGAATATTCCTCCAAAACTCATGCCACATTCTTCTTCATATAATCCAGCTTCTCAAATTATTTGCTCAGCATACAGATTAAGTATGGTGAATATATAGATTGAATAAAACAATTGATGATCTGTTCCTCAGTTGGTCCCTGGCCTTGCTTTGGTTGATGATGTTGTACAGGTTCCTTATGAGCACAATTAAGTGTTCTGGAATTCCCATTCTTCTCAATGTTATCCATAGTTTGTCATTGTCTACATAGTTGAAAGCTTTGCATAATCAAGGAAACATCATTCTGATGTTCTCTGCTATCAGCCAAGATCCATCTGACATCGGCAATTATATAACTTGCCCTACATCCTCTTCTTAATCCAACTTGAATTTCTGGCAGTTCTTTGTCAATGTTCTGTTGCAACTATTTTTAAATTATCTATACTAAAAATTTGCTTACATATAATAGCAATATTGTTTGGTGATTTTTGCATTCTCTTGAGTCATATCTCTTTGGAATGGGCACAAATATTTATCTCTTCCAATTGGCTGGCCAGGTAGATTTCTTCCAAATTTCTTGGTATAGATGAGTGAGCTCTTTCAGTGCTGCATTTTTGTTTGCCGAAAGATTTCAATTTGCGTTCCATTAATTCCTGGAGGTTTTTTGTTGTTCTTTCCACCCCCCACCCCCACCAATGCCTTTAGGGCAGCTTGGGCTTCTTCCTTCATTTCCATTGGTTCTTGATCACATGCTCCCTCTTGAAATTGTTGAACATCAACCAAATATTTTTGGTACAGTTTTTTAATTCTATCTTTTTTTGATGCTTTCTGCATCATTCAATAGTTTACCCATAAGGATTCTTCAATATTACAAGTCAAGGCTTGAATTATTTTCTTCAGTTCTTTCATTTGTGAAATGCTGAATGTTTTGTTCCCTTTTAGTTTTCTAATTCTATTGCATATTTCATTCTAATATAAAAAATGCTGACTTTGTCTTCTCAAGCTGCCCTTTGAAATTTTCTGTTCTGCTCTTCACCTTCCCATTTCTTCTCAGCTCCTCTATGCTCAAAAGGAAGTTTCAGAGTCTCTTCTGACATCCATTTTTGTCTTTTCTTTTGTTCCTGTGTTTTTAATGACCTTTTGTTTTCTTATTGTATGATGATCTTGATGTCATCCCATAACTCTTCTAGTCCTTGGTTATTAGTGTCTAATGCATCAAATCTGGTCGATAGTTGGTCTCTAAGTTCAGGTGAAATATATTCAAATTCATATTTTGGCTCTCATGGACTTAATTTAATTTTCTTCAACTTCAACCTGAACTTGCATATGAGCAAATGATGGTCTGTTCCACAGCTTGCCACTGACCTTATTTTTGCTGATGCTATTAAGCTTTTTGGTAGGAGTCCTGGTGTGGTGCTGTGGATTAACGCGCTAGCCCACAACGCCATTTGATCTGTAAGGTTGACAGTTCAAGCTCACCAGCTGCTCCTCGGAAACCCTATCATCATGGCCATACTTTCCAACTACTACTGATCCTTCTGCTGTGTTTCCAACTTTCGCATTTCATTCACCAGTAAATAGTAATGCATCTTGTTTGCATGTTTGATCAATTTCAGCCTGAAGAAGTTGGTGCAGAAATTTGAATAATAGTGGCATTAACTTGTCTTCCTATTAAGTGTGTGGATTTTATCTCAGTCAGCATTTTACTTCAAGATAAATCTTGAAATGGCCTTTTTGACAATGAATCTTACACTGTTCATACTCAGTTTGTCTTTCCTGGCATAGTAAATCATGTGTCTGAATTAAAATGGCCAATGCCAGTCCATTTCCGCTCAGTAACCATGGTGTGGTGCTGTGGGATAAGCAATAGACTGCTACTCGTAAGGCTGGTGGTTCAAACCCACCAGCTGCTCCTTGGAAACCGTATACAGGGGCACTATGAGTCAGAATTGACTCTACAGCACATAGCAACAACAGCAACAATGCCTAGGGCATCGATTTCTATGGGTTCCATTTTATTTTTGACAACTTCCAAATTTTTCTAAATTCATGCTTCGTATATTCCATGTTCTAATTATTACTGGATGTTTGCAGCTGTTTCTTCTCCTTTAGAGTTGTGCCCCATCAGCAAAATGAAGCTTTACATCCATCACGTCTTTATGGTCAACTGTACTTGCAGGACAGTTATATTGTATTTTGAGTGCTTTCCAACCCTAGGGGCTCATCTTCTGCCACGGTGTCTGACAGTGTTGTACCAGTTTTCAGTGGCTAAACATTCAGAAGTAGTCTGCCTCTCCTTCTCCCTAGTCTGTCTTAGTTGGAAGCTCCACTGAAACCTGTCCTCCCTGGGTGACCGTGCTGGTGTTTAAAACACCAGTACATAGCTTCCAGTATCAACAACATGCAACCCACCACAGAATTATAAACTGACAGACAAGTAGCAGTCGAAGAAAGAAAACAATAATTCTTTTGCTGGACTAGAATTCTGGTTTTAGAAATCTCCATTTGCTAATGCAAAGTAAAATCATATTTAGAGAATATCAAAAGCATAAATACTTTCTTGATTTTAATACTCTGGAATTATAGCTTTTTTTAGTGTATTATCTCAGGATTTTAAGAAATGTATGTCTTTTGATCAATTGTGTAGCAGGTAATGCTCTTTGCAAG